TTCTCATCTCTAGACGGTATGCTCAGATTGTACACTGCATTAGTTAGATCTAAGCTTGAATATATGTGGTAAAAAAACCAATATTTCCATAATCGAAAGATGTCAGTCAAAGATACTACGTATGATTACTAACGTCTCATGGTATGTTTCCAATATAACACTCCATGAAGACATGGAAGTGCCGCTAGTGAAGGAAGTTATAAAAGGGAAAAGCACAAGATACCCCAACAAAACAGAAGGACATGAGAACGTACTAATGCAACCGTTACTGGAACCACACAATGGACGCAGCTGGAACGCATCCAGTAGAGGTTTGCGGCCCTTTGTTTTAATCGTTTATTTCCTCAAGTTCATTACAGTCACTCTCTTGCTCTGGAGGAGTTAAAATTCCATACTTTACGTACTAGGAGGCATCACCTCGATGCTCTCTTTCTTACTAACGTTTATTTGGGCTCGAAATTCTGCCCTTATGTTCTGGAAATTGTTGGTCTCCGAGTTCCTGCTCGGTATATCAGAGACTTTGCATGGTTCAATGTTTGCTCATGTAAAAATTGTCCCTCTGCTGGATGTGCAGCAGCTGCTAATGTTGTTTGCAGGGATGTTCATGTATTCGGAGCCAGGAAAGTTCTCCCCAAACGATTTTTAAATATAATATAATTGTTAGTATTATTATTTGTATGTACAACAACAAAACTGCATTATTAATATTATCCTCTCTGAATATCTATACTTTCATTTCTCAGTTCTCAATAACAACTTAGACTTATGTTAATGTTATTATTATTATTATTATTATTATTATTATTATTTGTTTCTTTACTTGTCTGCATTAATGTGTTTTTCCTCCAGTGCTTGCCTGTAATTTGTCTTTCACTTTATGTAGTGTTTATCCATAATGTGTGCTCTGTCTGTAATTGGCCTTGTGGCTGTTGTCTCGGCACATAAATAATAAGGAATTGAACTGAACTGAATTGAACTATTTCCAACTCACATTTTAGCATAGCTGACGTATCCGTAAGACTTTTATCTGATGACACGTAATTTGAAAGTACCAAAATGGGGAAGTGGTGGTGTAAAATATTTCGACAAAATGGCGAGTGGCTGCTAGTTCTTCGTGCCACGTGGTGAAAGTTAATCCAATCAGCAGAAGTCTTCTACGCTACTACCGTCTGCTTCCTCTGGCGGCTTGTTTACCGTAATGCGTGTGTGGAAGTGCAGCTCTTCTGATGGCTGATTCGTTTGCAGATTCGCTGTTCTCTTTAAGACTCCAAGTTGCCCCTTAATACTCCGTTTATTTCAGGCGAGAGGAGGAACTGCATGGCGCTGCCGTGTGGTGTCGGCCATGGGACATTTAAATTCAGGCAACTTCGGGACTTTGCAGCCCCCTCTCTATCTCTCTGCGCGAAACAACACGTTCTCTCTCACTGCCTAGTTCAGATTCTCAGATGTGTTTCCAGATATGTTTTAAAGGCGGACGGAATTACTGAATTACTCCCGAAAAAAAAAAAGCCTACCTCAGCAAACGTATCTGTCACTCTCTCCCTCTCTGTGTGTTTGTATGTGTGTGTGTGTGTGTATATATATAACACACACACATATGTATATATATATATATAAAATTATGTCAGAAAAAACAAGTGCGAAAACAGCTGCATTTTTTTATGCTCTGGGTTGTGACGCTGTAAGTTTCCATGGTAAGTAGAGCAATATTTGCCCCTAACACGCTCAAGGAGACTGTGACGCGATACGAAAATATAGTCAGCCTAGCCAAGTGTAGCTGTGCTTTTCAACGGATGATATGACGCCGATCCGATGGCACTAGGATTGATTGATTTTCCTTTGTCTTTAGCAACTGTGTAGTAAAGTGTAGAACTCCGTCATTTCTTTCCGTATGCAGCGTTTGATGGGGTACCCTGCCGAGAAACTGGGAAGAAACATGTGCTTCTAGTATCAACTATACCCCTAGATAATGGCCGCTCCATAGCTCAAGCGGTTAGTAGCTGGCTTCTCATCGCGGCAGCCCGGGTTCGATCCCAGGTCTGGTCAAGTGAGATTTATGGTGGACAAAGTGGTGCTGGGGCAGGTTTTCTCCGAGCACTTCGGTTTCCCCTGCCAATCTTTATTCCACCAATTGCTCCACAATCACCCTCACCCATCATGTGGGGCTGGTACAATAGGCCAGAAGTGACAGTAGTACAAGGGACTTAGTCTCACCCCACTAGCAATAAAAAAATTCTAGATAACGGATAGACCTATTCCTAGAACACTACAGGTCTATGCCTACAAATTTAAATACAATTCATTTGTTCATAATTTGTGATTGCGAATGTAAGTGTTGACGGCTGCGAGTCTGTGCGGTTTTAATAACACGTAAGCTGCTAATGTAATCAATACGAGCAGAAGTTCTGTCGAGTTCTCTCTCCTGTACAGCAGAGCATTTCCTTCGCGTGTATTTCGAAATAACAAACAAGAGGAATTATCATTCTTCCCTGATATACAAGGTGTTGTATTGCTTAGTTCGAGGGAATCCCAGTTTTCATGAACTCTGAACATCGAATTAAAGCAGGCTGTATGCTGGCGTTTTTCTAACGATTCATATCTAAATAATTAATTGTGTACTTATTAAAGGAAAGTATTTAAATTTTATTTTAATGATACGAAATCTCGGGTCTACATGGCGGCAAAGGCTTATATTGTTGCGACACCGTGGATTCTTCTGGGTGCTTATCTACTTTTCGCAGGGCCCGCTACTTCCACTTTCATGATGGAAGGTTGAGGCTCCACGTTCCCCCAAAACATGGGCAAAAACCCACAAGACTTCATGATGTCACAGCCCGGAAGACCACAATTTATTTTAATCAAACTGTAACTCTATAGGATTTATGTTTATAGTAAGTAAAAAAAAAGTGAAGCTATCCCTGTAACAGGCCGTGAAGGCCCATACGGTTGTGAGACGTTAAGGGTCCCACATTATCTTGATAATCGGCTCAAAGATGGCGGTAAGTTTGTCAGCCTTACGCACCGGCCGCGCTTTACTCCCCAGGAAAATCATTTAATTAATTTCTGGTACTCATTTCTATTAGAGGCTGAGTAAACCCCAGGGCCTAGTGCGGCCGGAAGGATTAGGTAAATTGAAAAAAAAAATCCAATGACCTCATCGTTTATATTTATAGTGGGTTCCTAAAGTCTAATGAACAGACTTGATAACATTTGAATGCTGAGTCTGATTGCCTGTGATTACATAGAACATTGCCCGGTTCCTGTCCCTGAGATTATAATTTTATTTTGACTGCCCGTGTGAGGAGGTAGATACGGGATGTTACATTCAGAACGTACTCCTGCTAGAGCATGAGAAGCCCAACCAACCCCACTACTGCTTCTACAGTAAAATTAATCTTCAAAACGAATAAGAGATTGGTAATAAATGTTAATAAGAACATAAGTTCTGATGAGCAGTTTCATGAAATTTCTTGGAGTTTGAAATCTAAGCACATAAATGTTATGAAAGCCACAGCCTCAATGAAGCCAGCGCGAAGTAACCAGATGTAACAGTTGGTACCACTGTTAAGACATGCTGATGAAACATTTTCCGAAACATGAAAATAACATTAATCCATGAGCACGTTAGCCATATCTGATTTTATTTTCTAAAATTATATACAAATTTGGTTCCGCAATTTGAAAAGAAATCCACTGATATGTTGGGTTCTTGGACTTTATCCATCGTCCTGGTCCAGTGATTGACCCAACTGAATAGGGTTTTCCTTCACCTGAAGACGGAAACAGATCCAGTTTCCGAAACGTCGTGTTTTTATTTGTTATCTTAAAAACCAGGACGATGGATAAAGTCCAAAAACCCAACATATCAGTGTGTTATACACCATCGTCAGAATCCTATAGTAACTACTTGAAAAGAAATGTTTTGTAATCATACCAAAACTTCCACATCTCCAGAGTCAGCCGTCTCAAGTGCATTTCAGCTTGTACCCTCTGACGTCTGACAACCACTGAAAGCTAAACCAGCCGCCGTCCAAGAGGCGGCAGTGAACGAAACCCTTAGCATAATGGATAAGAACTCTTCCTGCTTCAAGAAAGGGTTCTCCATAGCAAATTACTAGTTTTGTTGGCTTAGTAAAAGCCTATGACATGCGTTAATTGTTTCTTGCATCCTGTTGTGTATTTAACCAATATTAGAGTCAATTTTAGCGACCACACAACATATTTTTATTATTAGTACACTACATGTTTCGACCTCAAGAGGTCATCCTCAGGTGTACGAACACAGCTGTATAATTACACGCAATCACATTCGTCTTCTCACTTATTCGATCATGTATCTTATTCAGGCTCACGCTCAATAAATCAAGTTCTCTCATAAAACACAAGTTAAAACTGTTCTAAAAGTTAAAANTGGGTACTGATGCGTCTTACTTCTTTGGTTGGTTCCTGTAGGTGGGGGAGGGGGGTGTTCTGAGAAGGTAAGTAGATTTTATGATTTTAAGTAGGTGGTTTTGGGATGTGTTACATTTCTTGTGTCTGATTTGTTTTTATTAGGATATCATAAATTGGGTTGTAACTATCAGTCAAAGCTTCGTTCATTTGTAGGTTTTGCTTAGTTAATTCACATATATGGAAGCTTTCTAGTGTGTTCAGCATCTTTCCTTTCTTTTCTATGTGGAGTATTTCCATTGCTTTGTCTATGGTGTGATAATTGTGCGTTGTGTCCAGTACATGTTGGGCGAATTTTGATTTCTGCCCGTTCGTTTTCATTTCCCTTATGTGTTCTTTATATCTTGTTCGGAAATTACGTCCTGTTTGGCCGACGTATTTTAGGTGACAATCTTTACACTTCATCTGGTATACTCCACAAAGGTTGTATTTATCTGTCGTTTCATGTTTTGTTCTTAGGAACTTTTTTATTATAGTATTTGTCTTGAAAGCGATTTTTATGTTGGTATTACGAAATAGTTTAGTGATTCTTCTAATGCTGCGGCCGAAGTATGTAAATTTGGTCCATTTATCCTTCTGTGGTGTTGTTATTAGGTGGTTTCGTATTATGCTCTTTCGCATATGGTGAGTATGGGCAGAAATCAAAATTCGCCCAACATATACTGGACACAACGCACAATTATCACACCATAGACAAAGCAATGGAAATACTCCACATAGAAAAGAAAGGAAAGATGCTGAACACACTAGAAAGCTTCCACATATGTGAATTAACTAAGCAAAACCTACAAATGAACGAAGCTTTGACTGATAGTTACAACCCAATTTATGATATCCTAATAAAAACAAATCAGACACAAGAAATGTAACACATCCCAAAACCACCTACTTAAAATCATAAAATCTACTTACCTTCTCAGAACACCCCCCCCCCCCACCTACAGGAACCAACCAAAGAAGTAAGACGCATCAGTACCCATCACGACAAGGACCGTAACAGATCCACAACTTCAGAAGACGCAGTAGAACAGCAAGACCTTCTTACCGTCCCCCTCTGTGTAGCCTCTAGCCACACCGGTTGGTCGCTACTCTTTCCCTTCCTTCCTTTCTCTTGCCGTTCTCGCCACTGCCGTCGTTGGTCGTGGAGCTTGCAGCTAGGTCGGTTTTACCTGGCTCCACCGCTTCTCCAACTCCACCACTTCTCTTCACTATGGAAAGGGGTATCAGGTCCGGGACTTGGACTGGATGGTCTATGGGCGCCAGCAACTGTGGATACAGCTGCGAAGTGAAGGGAAAGGTGGACGGGGTGGGAGCTGATGGTGATCGGGCTAGTAGTGGTTGGCGTGAGACTCTGGCTCAGGTCGTTTAGGGCCTTACTCCGACGAGGAGAAAAGAACACACGGGACACACAAACACTTGGCACCACTTAACTTTATTGATTTTTAATCTGAGCGCCACTGAGATACAACTCAGTGCGTTACTTTACTATGATCTCCCGTTGCTCGAACCCTAATTTCACTTGACAGACGATGGAGAGGGCTAGCTCCGCGTCCGGCGAGTTTAACTGTTCTTACGAGACTTTCCAAAAGAACTCTCTGCCTTTGCAGATTCAGAGATACTCCAAAATTTGAGGAACGCCTCGTTGCCATCCTCTAAAAATCTCCGGGTTGGCTGAATTTAGAAGGGGGAGGGGTTCGATAGATTTCTCATTCCTCCAATGGTCAGCTGTTTCGCGGCGAGATTTGGGGTTCACACGCTTTCACAGTCTTTCTGACCCTGCGTGGATTGAGAGGGTTCAATCTAACGGTCTCCTAAGGGTAGGTCCGTGACAAATCGGGTGTTGGAAATTGGCCCCTTTCCTCTACTAATGAAACAATTCGCCGCTCCTTTCTAAAAGCAGGTTTTAACATTTGGAGAGTTATGACCGGTTAGAGGGCCATCTCTCTACGTGACTAAAGTTCTTTCCAACGTCTTTTGGACAGATTTCTCTTATTAGTACCTATGGCTCTTTCTTAAAGTAGGGAGAGTGTCGGGCTGGTTTGGGTTTAGTCCGGGGATTGTGACCCTCATAAACTTTACCATCTCGGAACTGCGAAAGGGTTCAGGTCCCTCTGGTTGGAGTGGGGTGTGAGGTATTGCCTCCGCTTTGATGTAGCGACAAGTACTGACACACGTGAACAAAACATTGTACTCCTTTGCATTGTACGGTTACAACCTCAAAAAGTGAAAAAGTGCAATCTATAATAAAATTGAACTTTAATTCATGAACGTTTAATCAATAATATAATTAAACTAGTTAAAGTGAACTTGACGCAGTGATGAACGTAAGTAGGAAGTGACTGAATACAAGTGAAAGTGAAAAGCATAACAAATGACCTGAATTGAAATTCGATTCACAAACTTTAAATTTTTTAAACAATTTTAAATTTAAATTTTAAATTTTGACTTTTAGAACAATTTTAACTTGTGTTTTATGAGAGAGCTTGATTTATTGAGCGTGAGCCTGAATAAGATACATGATCGAATAAGTGAGAAGACGAATGTGATTGCGTGTAATTATACAGCTGTGTTCGTACACCTGAGGATGACCTCTTGAGGTCGAAACATGTAGTGTAATAATAATAAAAATATGTTGTGTGGTCGCTAAAATTGACTCTAATATTGCTATGACATGCGACTGGAAAATAATAGAATTTAAGAGAAAGTTTATTAACCAAATCCCTCTCAAAGAACGCATTGCCCACGCTCGTTTTCGAACTACATCCCTGATCCAGGGCAGCTCAGTTAAGTCCCTGACTATAGGCTATGTAGCCAGGGTTCGATTCCCGGCAGGGTGAGAGCTCTTGAGTCTCACCAGCCTCGTATCCGGTGGGTATCTGAGACTACATAAAAGGAGATAAAGGGGGCCGAAACGCGATGCTAACAGCTTTTCTCCTTATGCTGTGGTGCATGACATGAGACGACTAGATCTCCACGTCGCCTTTATGTTTCAATGGCGTCGTTCGATAATCCAGTTAACATAGGCGTGAGAGGAAAATGATAGTCCAGCGAGTATACAAGATAGACCAGATCTACTGGTATCACAAATATCACAAGCAAAACGGTGGAATTAGGCTCTTCTTCTTAGCTTTAACGAACAACAAACTGCACTGGAGAACAGAGTGAATTATCCGTGATATATTTATTATAAGGTTCTTTCTTCAATCGTTTATAGTTTCTCAGCTCGTCTAATACTTCCCTACATTCATGAAACCGGAAGGCAGTGCCGTAATAGCGTTTAACGTTCTTAATCCATGTCACATCCGCAAATCCTGTCTCTCCAAGGTCCATTATAACATAGGACCCTCCCATCTATGACCAGGTACCTCAAGAGATCTACACGCTTCACGTCACTACATGATATCAATACTGGAGCCTCTAGCGGTGTGCTCTCGTAGTTCATGATGTAAAAGACTGAACCAACCGTTGCTTTGTACCAATGTGACACATATTTGTTATTAATTATGAGACACTACTGATCTGTTTCTATGCAGCCTATGAACTGGACCGGCCATGACAACCCAGTCTACGTGTAGGATCGCATTTTTTCAGCAAGTCACATAAAGATATCATGCATAAGTACTGCGTTACTGGCACAGTAAGAGTTACTGTAACAACTGGTGGAAAGACGTTTCATAAAGTCGGATTAGAAAACATTGCCCTGTTGCAAGATTCGACATTTCTCGAACTGGGTACATGTTCCTTACGTTCTCTTGGACGCAAGCGGAAGGGGAAGTAGAGGGGCAGAAAGCACTGACCCACGGTGAAGAGCTACACTTTACGGAAACCGCTGAGTCGAGTTCACTCTCTCAAATTCATTTATTCGGGAATGTGTGCGTCTGTTTCTCACAGCTGCGTACGAGAGAGGTCGAGGTGGGGGGTTTACTGTGGCCATACTTGGCAGAATCAAAATACTGGCATTTCGCGTTTCATCTACAAAGACTAAATTACAAGGTACAATTTTTCACAGCCGTACAGGGGAGACACCGTGGAGTCAAATACCAGCGTGTAACACAAAATCCGCGCATGAAACCAGTAAGTCTCATGGCACTTCACGTCTATAGTCAGGCTGCCACTGCTCCTTCTTCCCTTCACTGTTCTGCTTCGTCTCCTTGCTCTTTGCAAGTTCCCACCCCAGCAGTATGCATAAAATAACAGAGCCCTAAGTCACTGGAACGCAAAGAACAGGATGAAAATAGGGACGGCAATGACACAGCTCAGGTACAGGGCCGTCCGCGGCTCACACGTCGACACGACAATGAACTCCTCGTTCCACAGGGACTCGTTGGGGCGGACTGGAAGCTCCAGGACCACTTTCTCGCTGGAGAAGAAGTCGAGAGGCAGTGAACACAACTCGGTGGAGTTCCTGCAGGCCGCCATAGAGTTGGACACGTTGTACACCCTCTTCTCAAGCTCGAAGTGTACGCGGAAGTAGTTAGTCTGCACCTCGTTCTCACTGCTGAACACGAAGAAGTAGTAGCCGTTCCTCGGGATCCTGTGGAAGCATCCGTATGACATTCACATTATAATTGAGCGCTGGGGGCATCGCAACATACCTTCGTCAGGTCGCTAGTACCAGTGGTTAAGACGTTATGTGATGGGAAGGAACTGGTGAAACAACAGTGGCCCGCATACCATTTCGCACTAAAATTGAATAATTACCGCTACTCACTTGTACGTGATGGTGTTCTCATGGGCCGCGACGGCGTGCTCGTGGTGCGGCTTTTGTTGACTGCACTTGCTGTGTGGGGTGAGGGGCAGGTTGAGGATAAGCCCCGCGCAATTGAGCAGCCTCTCTTCACTGCTTGAGAAGGACGACCAGAATTCGCTTTTGGATCGGTCGTTTACAGTAGTTTCATTTACCGTCTTGTGATGATCTGCGATTCCATCCGGCTGAAATCCCTGTAACAGCATAGCGCCTCTCTCGATCTATTGCCGAGGTCAAAAATGGTGGAGCTACACCCCCATTCCCTCATATCTTCATGGCATAGTGCTTACTTAAGTAAGCACGGGTACAACTTTACCTCAGTCGGTGGTCGAGTACTGACTGCCGGCGCGCAGCTCCTATTTGCGTGACAAGTGGCGTCTGATTCTGTTGAAAAATGGCTATTTTGGGCCGAAAATTCCAGAAGAAGGAGTAAGGAAACCTTTGTCAGGAAATGAGTCACGGTCTCGTGCCAGCAAGCGGCTGGAAGACCAGGAGGAACGACGAAGCCGGCAAGGACGAACAACGCATCAAGGGCTGTTACGTCGACATGAGGAGCCTCCGAAGACAAACTTGATCAAGGACTGGACATTATGGAGGGGACGACCCCCTCCAAAACGAAAAAGACCTCAAGCAGAGGAGGAACCGGTAATGTAGATGAACCGGCCTCCCCAGAGAGAGTGAATGTGCCAGAGAATGCAAGTGATGGATGAATGGGGCACAACTGGATCTTCTGGCGAGCTGAAAGGAAACCGCTCGAGACGAGTCGATCTTAAGAAGGGAGCGGATGTAACGAAAGAAGATGCTGCAAGAACAGCCTCCGAAGTAAAGGAACGGGGACGCACCGTTAGGCTATTCGGGACGAACAGCCTTAAGGAGGGAGCAGTGTGACATGTTGCGC